GCTGAAAGACTATAAAGGAGTCCTTGACATCCATTGCTGATTATACGCAGCTAAATAAAATAGTTAAAGGGAAAGATAAAGGGAAATAGGAGAATTAATAGAGAAATATTGTAAAAAGTGAGCGAATGAGAGACCGCATGTTTGTGTGAGATGGTGAGAAAGTCTGTGTGTATGTGTATGAAAGAGAAAGAGAGAGAGAGAGAGAAAGAGAGAAAGAGAGAAAGAGAGAAAGAGAGAAAGAGAGAGAGAGAGAGAGAGAGAGAGAGAGAGAGAGAGAGAGAGAGAGAGAGAGAGAGAGAGAGAGAGAGAGATAGGAGGAAGAGACAGACAGAGAAAGATGGGGTGGAGAGACAGAGAGCGCACAGGAGGGTCGATATGGCTTACTTGAGTCACTAGTCAAATCCTTGGCTTTGCCAACTTCCCTGACTTTCCCTTCTCATCCAAACACACAATGACCAGCAAAATGTCAGAGGATCTGCCTATTGCAAGGGAAGGGTCCTTAGAATATTTGCAATTGCTGATGTGACTGTAAATACAACATAGAAAATACAACATAGATTTAGGTACAGAAAATAGCCTCTTTAAATTTTATCCACGAAAATGGCCATGACATGCGTTAGAAACTCGATCTACACGAGAATTAAACACTACATTTAGATAGACAGCTTGAGTCCTCAATTCTAGAATCTTAAAGCCCAGGAAAGAGGTTTTCTCTATATGATATAAGACTAGAATATTATAAACTGCTTGATAATATGACGTTAACAATACACAGTGTAGCGCACGGGGTCGAGTAAATGTACATGTACTAAATTTCCTGCTTCGCTTCCTTCATCAACAGGTGGTGTTGATCGTCAATGTGGCGACCTACTGAGGGTACACTGCTCAGTACCTTGACATGAATGTGCTACAAAGCTCCTACAGCAACTTTGAGATCCTGGCCTTCCCTTGCAACCAATTCGGGAAGGTAAGTGTTATTTTGTCTTCCGTTCTCATATTCACGTGTTTATCTTTCCTGTTCGTGATTTTCTCACATTTACGTATTTGCCCTTCCTGTCTATGGTGTTGAATCGACACGCATGACTGCATCTGCTCACATACAAACGGGCCCGCACATTCATATATATACACACATGAACACACGCACACAGATATACTTACATATATCGCGACGCACACAATCAGGATCATTATAATCACCAATGATATATTTCTCTTTCACTTTGAAGCTGTTCAGAGATATACTCATGATGAGTTTGAATGATTTTGACGATTCATATATTAATTATCCACCTCCAAAGTTGTTTATATTCCTGAAGCATGTTTAAAATGAGAATCTTTCACTTTTCTTCATTGCTCGCCATTTGTAATTCTTATTTTTTTCCTCTTACATATTCTTTCCTCTCTGTTTCTCTCATTTTTTTTTCTTCCTTTCTTTTCACTTTCTTTTTCTTTTCCTATTTATTTTTCTTCATTTATCGTGCTTTCATGCTATCTTTTTTCTCTTTCATTATCCTTCCTTCTTTGTTTTTCATTCCATAATATTCCACTCTTCTCACTCTCATGCTTTATTTATCTGTTATAACTTCGTTTCCCTCTTTACTTATCCATTTATTCATCTACTTATCTATTTATTTATTTATTTTAATCATGTGTCTATTTACTCACCTATTTCTTTTTTCACCTATCCATTAATTCATTTATTTCATTTATTCATTTGTTTGTTTATTTTGTCTATGCTTCTATTCATTCATCTATTTACTTATTCCTTTATTTCACTGTAGCAAGAGCCGGCAGCGAACGCCACGGAGCTCTATAACGGCATCAAGTATGTTCGTCCGGGCAACATGTTCGAGCCCAACTTCACTATGTTCAAGAAGATCGAGGTGAACGGCGAGAACGAACACCCTCTGTACACCTACCTCAAGGTGAGAGAAGGAGGTTTTGAGGTTTTTTTTTCTAATGTGTTTTTTTTATTTTTTTTATTTTTTTATTTTTTTTTATTTTTTTACACCCTCTGTACACTTACCTCAAGGTGAGAGAAGAGGGTTTTAAGTACCATAGGTTTCGAGTTTTTTTTTGCTAATGTCGTTGGTTTTGATTTTTTTCTCTTTTTAACACCCTCTGTACACTTACGTCAAGGTTTTAAATACCATAGGTTTTGAGTTTTTTTTTCTAATGTCGTTTGTTTTGATTGTTTTTTTCTTTTTAACACCCTCTGTACACTTACCTCAAGGTGGGAGAAGAGGGTTTTAAGTACCATAGGTTTTGAGTTGTTGTTTTTCTCTAATGTCGTTGGTTTTGAATTTTTTTTTTTTATTGAAAGTAAAGGTATTGAGGTTTTGTTTTTAAATGTCGCTGGTTTTAAGGTTCGGATTTTTTAAAAATGTCATAGGTTTTTGAGGTTTTGAAAGCGTTTTTGGAAGTGTAGGAATGGTATGCTTAAGCGCGGGTGAATAACTTCGCGGAATGAGAGGTGGATCTGGTATTCCGGTAACCATCATTATCATTATTTTGATCATATATTCAAGTAGGTATAAGGAATGCACCATTTAATACTGCAATACCGATTTTCGTCCCCAGGAGTACTGCCCGACCACAAGGGAGTCCTTTTCGGACAAGAAAAAGCTGTACTACGAGCCCATCCGCGTCAGCGACGTCCGCTGGAACTGGGAGAAGTTCCTCATCACCAAGAGCGGCAAGCCCTACATGCGCTACGACCCTGGCACCAAGCCTGAAGAAATCAAGAACGACGTGGCATTCCTCCTGACCCAGGAATCTTAAGTTTTTTTTCTCCTGAAGACTTCATATTTTATTGTTAATTTTAATACAAATGTATGAACTTTGATAACCTTACAGTCATTTTGTAACTGCTTCGTCATGTGTTCCTTGTTCCCTCCTTGTGATTGCTGGGAGTCTGCGCCCCCGCCCATGCATGGTGCCATGAAGGTGTCGCCAGAAACCCTCCGGGTGGGCGGCGCTGGAAGGCGGGGCGAGCTCGGGTCGGGTCTTCTAGCACATTCATCCTGACCCCTGTGACCTCTGCCGGCCATGCTGGGGCGAAGGCAGCTTTTCTGGTGTTCGCGGGGAAGGAATAAGGAAATGACGTAGAAATAAAACAACTTTTTTTTTTTATTTTAATCATTTTAATGTTTTATTTGACCCTGGCAGTGGAAGAAAGAAATGCGCGACAAGGTTATTAAGATTACTGTCTTTCGGTAAGAAAGGGGAGTGAGGATAATCGCAAATTATAATTTTTGCGTTGGCTTATACGAAGGAAGAATTATGAGGAAAGCGCTGGTGTATATGGTGGTCAGAAATATACCATGGAAGCTTTATAATGCACGTACTTTCGCTGCATACATATATGCAGTAAGCACCATATGATCGTACTGAAAACAGAGAAACGATATTGAGACTTGAACGACTTTGCATCCGTATCGAAGTACAATGATAGTTATTATACTTACATCAGCGGAAGTGAAATATTGAGGTTACAGCCAAATACATATCAAACAGCCATATAAAAATCATTCGAGAAAAAGTGAACAGGCGAATTTTACTTCAAACGCCAATCAATCCTTTTATAAACGCGATAACGGATAAAGATCGATGGCTAAAATACACTTTATAAAACTGTTATGAGGTTATTTTCATCACATAAAAAACAGTTCCGGAAGCATATAATAAGAGCAGATTCAACAGCGGGTAGAAATGCACATGTGTGCCTTATACACTTGTTCACTTGTTGCAGTATTCGTGTGGCCAGCTAGTACTAATTATGCTCTACGTCGTGTCTTTTTCGCCAGCTGTGACAGGCATATTAACACTGACTGAGTGCTACGCTGTGCAAGGGGGATTTTCGCAATACCTGTCATGCGGGTGGGTACACATTCAGAACATTAAGAATACAAATGCATAGTCACTGGCAAAATAAACCACACTCCTATTCTCGCATTCTATAGGACAGTTCCAGCAAAACTCTTTCATAATGATTTTGTGCAATCAGGATCGGACAAGGTGAGGTACAAGACTCTCAAAGGCAAGTGTAGTTGCATTCACAAATGCTACGATATATTTATCTAGAAACAAATCAATTATAATACTGGAAACCTTAACGTAACTCAGCATTACTACACGTACCAAGCAAATTTCGAAACATGAAATAGAAACCCTCAAGAGAAACAAAATCACGGAGTAGGGGATCACCCCTCCCTTGGACGTCAGTTCTCGCTTCAACTAATTTTGCAGGGTATTTTCTTCTCCCCCTTTCCTTTCCCTTCCCTTTTTCGTCCCCTCCTCTGTCCTCTTATCCCAATCGTTAACCCATATTTACTTTATTCGCCACAGTACTTTGCCATAGTGCTCTGTGGCATTTGATGTCTGGTACATTTGTTTGTTTTGACCACTGATCATTCTCGAAATCCACAAACATCGCCTTACTGAACCAAAAACTTCCTTACTTAGGGGCTTCATCCCAAGCCCGACCCTATCGCTATATTTTGTGATAACCTTAGATATTGAAGCGGCAGAAAATGCTCAATAAATAATAATTAATGCCATTAATTTGTATTCGGTTCACTTCTAAATTTTGAACCCACTTTTAAATCAACAATTTTGTATGGTTCGTTAGTTACACATCAGTGTTCGTTAATTATCGCTGTCAAACATTCGTGCATGCGGTAAGTGACGAAGACATTTTTATACGGAAACTAATCAGCAAGAAATAAATACATTCATTCTCTCGCAAGCAGTACATTTTCCCCGCCGATAAGAAAAAAAACGTCCTTATCATCCACTAGAATCTTTCAAAACTGATTTTAAGAAGGACAAACTCGATGCTTCCAAAAAATATTAAGATCAGCAGTGATATTGTCATGATCGAAATCGTTGTATACACATTATCATTGCATTATTTATAAGATTTTTCCATTCTAATATGTGAGAGATTCTCAAGGTTACGTTTTGCTGATGTGGTTTACAATTTTTTCATGGCTGTTTTAAACCTTCTTTGTAGTTTGTCTGAGATATAAGATAGCAAGGGACACCTGACATAATTTAGCATTGTGTAAACGATCATATAGCCTGAAAATACATTGGAGATATGTCACTTTTTCATGGGACAAACCTGAGTTTTCTTCTATGTGAGGCAGTCTATGGTGAATATTCCTGTGTCTGTGATCGGGTTCCAGCACTGATCATATTCATGAGATCGAAGGCCAGGTCATCTTGAAGAGCAAGAAGTGCGATGAACACTCTCTACCTTCCCACTAAGACAAAAGCCCGAGAGCCAGCGAGCTACCATCTGGACGCTGCTGAAGAGGTGGTCGGGTCGTTATAACCTGGTTCCTCTCCGTAAGCGACCTCTACCTGCGAGCGGACGGTCTCCTTGGGCGATCCAACATCGGCCTTCTTGGAGGAGCTGCTGGTGGAGGAGCTGGCGATGTCTCGTTGAGCGTGAGTGGGAAGCGTGGAGGATGTCCTGCCACACTTCTTGGCCGCGGGCTATTTCCACCGAGGGGCGGAGTGGCGATCGGACTGACGGCCTCCGCGGTGGCTGGACGAGTGGTCGCTGTTCTGGTACAGCTCCTCGTCGATCAGCAGCTCGAAGTCGCCGTACTTGTCCGGAGTCGGGACTTTGTTCCAGTGGACGCTGTAAAGAGTAGAAAGATAGATATACATATAAATATACACATATATACACATATACACTTTACACACACACACACATTTATATATATATACATATACATATATACATACACACACACACACACACACACAAACACACCTACACACACACACACACACACACACACACACACACACACACACACACACACACACACACACACACACACACACACACACACACACACACACACGAGGAAAGAAACAGCATGATATAAAGGCGATGTAGAAAGTAGGCAATCAATCAGGAAATTACCGTCATTGCTGCAACATGAGTCATGCAGCATACCAGTGAGGAATAATCAAAGCATGAAAGAAAAATGGCCTACTTGGGTATCCCGTCTGGTGGTAGTACAATGTTAATAAGATCATCCACCAGCTTGTACTTGAGTATTCTGTCGTTGGCTGTGGTTGACGTCATCGAAGGGGACGCGTTGACCTATAAGGAGAAGAGCTTCGTTATTTACTTAAAGCATAATTGGGGGTGAAATCGTAAGGACGATAACGTGATATATATATATATATATATATATATATATATATATATATATATATATATATATATATATATATTAGCATAAACAAGAATTACAAAAATACCACTAAATAAAAGTGTGTGTGTGTGTGTGTGTGTGTGTGTGTGTGTGTGTGTGAGAGAGAGAGAGAGAGAGAGAGAGAGAGAGAGAGAGAGAGAGAGAGAGAGAGAGAGAGAGAGAGAGAGAGAGAATGAGAGAGAGAATGAGAGAGAGAGAGAAAGAGAGAGAGAGAGAAATGGGGGGGGGGGGGACGCCGACAAGAGAGCCCTGAACCAACACCAAACCTCGATCATCCACGGCTTCAGCTGATCGTCGATGATAATGTCATAACCATAACACTCGAAGCAGTGTCTGTCTGAAGCCATGATGGGAGCAACAGCCCTGAGGGAGTGAACCACCAGCCACGTGATGTCTGTGAAGAGCTTGTCTGTGCTTGTCTTGCCTCGAGTTCCTTCTAGGTAGAGACGGAGGGTTCTCATGGGCCATTTTCCCCCGTGGACGTTATTGTACTCTTCCTGAAGCGTGAAATAAGAAGTGGATCAGAAAACGCTGAAAATATTCCCCGTCTCCCTATTTTCCTGTCTGTTTACATGTAACCCTCTCTTTTTTCTCTTTTTTTTCATTTTTACCCCAAATATCTGAATGGTGAGGCTGGTTGAGGTAGACGAAAGAACAGGCTTTTTTTGTTCCTTTTTCCTACGTATATGTGATTCTCTCCTTGCTTACCCCATGTTTCTGAATGGAGACATTTGTGAGGTGGACGAACATGTTGTCAAGCTCCTGTCCTGACGTGTCATAGCGAACAGTGCAAAACCTGCAGAATCCTAGCTTGTACATGTATGCTTTCAGTGGTCGGTAGGACGTCACCAGAATGTATCTAGATAGCAAAGAAGAATATCATATAAGTTTACAGTGGTCTAGGCACTGTTGTTTTTTTTTATAAACATGCACAAACACACATACACACACACACACACACACACACATATATATATGAGAGAGAGAGAGAGAGAGAGAGAGAGAGAGAGAGAGAGAGAGAGAGAGAGAGAGAGAGAGAGAGAGAGAGAGAGAGAGAGAGAGAGAGAGAGAGAGAGAGAGAGAGAGAGAGAGAGAGAGAGAGAGAGAGAGAGAGAGATGGGGGGGGGGAAGAGAGAGAAGAGAGAGAGAGAGAGAGAGAGAGAGAGATAGAGGGGGGGGGAGAAGAGAGAGAGAGAGAGAGAGAGAGAGAGAGAGAGAGAGAGAGAGAGAGAACGTATAAGCACAGGCACTCCATATATACCACCACATTTTTTTCATAATGTTCACACAGACGAAAATAAAAATATTAAACGATCACATACATTCTCAAGTCAAATTTTTTCCCACCAATGAGGAGCGGATTTTCAATGTATCTGGAGATAACATAGGTATCCTTGACGAGCGCAGGGTTAAATGAACTCTTGGTGTCCCGCGACCACTTTTTTATCTGAGCCAGTTTGTTCACCAAAAAAATGCCTGTTGTAGGAATAGAATATAAATGATTAGATAAAAGGAAATTTCATAACTTCTCTCATTATCTATTTTATGCTACCAATCGTTTCGTTGTGTTCAGAAAAAAGCACAAGAGCAGTGCTACCTAACCCCTTTCAATCTTTTAACCTTTTAAGTTATCATTTTAGCCAGTTCACCCATCCCAATTTGCCCCTTGCAAAAGCTGACTATTGCATAAATGGATCTTTTGTATGTAGACGTTAAACAAAAATATCATTACCTTATTGATTTCGCCTCTTCTGTCAACGAATATTTGAGTAAACTATTGATATATTGAAACAACATACCCCAGCCTCCCACGGGATAAAATCACTCCGGGGTTAGGAAATACTGCTCTTTAAAAAAAAAAAAAGTTCAGGCTCGAATGAAAATTAAGCAGAAGAAAACATAAAACAAAATCAATGAGACATTAATGCGCCCACACAACTAACCTACGCCCTGAGAACGACCGGCAGGCTTGAGGATCCAAGTGGTGTTGGGATTGCGACGAAATTCCTCGACGAAAAGATTGTAATCCGCAGGAAGCATGAACGTTGTTGGGAGGAAGTCCAGATGTATGTAACGGCCTGGTGGCAATCACATGTATTAAATATGATTTACGATATTATCGTTGCTTTGCTGTTATAATAGTGGGCAGGTATTGTGGAAAAAAAATGTGCAAGTTTTGAAGTGGGAGCCAAATGTGGGTCATTCGGTGTCATATGACCGGCTATAACTTACAGACCTTTGTTCAATTTTCATTATACAAAAGTTTTCAAAAGAAAAGGCATGTATTTTTGTCTTACATATTTAAACAGGCAGTTAATTTCACATCTTTAAGTGACTGGTACGGGGTTTGAAAATACTTCAGATTGTAGTTTTAAAATCCTGGTCTGTAAATAATAAATTATACGCAGTAAAAAGAGGTCGCAGTAACGATATCACCTACTTCCTAAATTTTGTGTCAGAATTAAATCGTTATATTTCCTTTAAAAAAACAAAGCTTCACAATTTCACGTCGCTGAGGCAGCAAATATCAGACCGACAATTGGGACAGCAGACTTTGAAAACGTAAAAAGTAATGTAACATTTGTCTAATAATTAAATTCGGTTCATATAACCTTCTAGTTGCTTGATGCTGGCTTTCCAGTATAATTCCCAAGTGCTTTTTCGATGATACAATCATATCACCTTGTTAGAATTTCGTGTGTGTCCTCGAGTAGCACACCTGCGCACTCTGATCATCACGGAAAGAAAGAACAAGGTGGAACGCGTTTTACTATCTTGAGGCATGTTACAGAAGTAACACACACATTGTTATCTCTGTGATGGTGTCCTGCGCCTGATAGAAAATTAATTACACCAGTATTGTGCAAAAAACACTTTGAGGCTTGTTAGTTTTGTGCATATGTTATACAAATTAAATGCTTGATTATACGCTTCTTCCGAATAAGCGCCCCTCTCAAATGTTTTATTGATGAAGCACTGGTCTCTAAAAATGCATGGTGTATTAATTGAGAGAATTTTACAAACGGAAGGAATATTAAGTGCCCTTTTTTTATTAATCCTGCGGGTCCTTTGTAAAGTATCTAGGGTATTAAAACGCAGAGCACTTGCAGTTCTTGCTTTCACTGAGGGGGAGAGGTCCTTAGTCCTACGTCCTATCACTAATTCAATTTCACACGTTCCATCTTTATACTGTTAAATATCATTTTACGTGATATATGAAAACTTGCATTGCTGGTAAATAAACTAAGGCCAAAACTTTCACTGTACATTAACGTCTTAAAGTCTGCAGGCATAGGCGTGACTTCTTCCTTTTTAAATACTAGCATGCTGTCTGCCAAATCATCGTAACTAGCATTTAGCTTGCCCTCATCAGGCTTACTCATGTGCAATTTCTCCCTTGTATTTTGTTGACATATAAAACACTCAGCCCAGTCGATGCTACCTTGTTCTTCATCACTGATTCAGACTGTCTCTGAAGAAGCAAATTTTTCTGCGGTTAGTATTTTGTCTCATTTAAGACTAGCTTTTTGCGGTTCGAGATCAAGCTGTCATGTAAATTACATTTTAGATATTGTTTTTCTCAGGTTTTCCCTGTTTGGATTATTCGTGAAAATCATTGTCTCATAAGGCTTTTATAAAACAGCAGCAAATGACTTTCAACACTGGCTCCCACCTCAGAAGTACTCCAGACATGTCAAAGAATATATATGGCAAGTTACATGTTTTTAGCAAATTGTGCACAATTAGTCCTATGTCTAACACAATACCAACCCACTATGAATTATTGATATGCAAAATCCCATGTTGTTAGATGTTATATATTGTTATTAGTTCAGAATCTTTACCCGTAGCATCCCTGGCTGCCAAAGGTGATCCTTCGCGTTCCAATTCGCGACGGTATCTCTTCACGTTCTTCACCATAAGGTCCTTCCGCGTGAGTTCGTAGTGCGTCGGGAAGTGGTTGATCATCCTGCGAAGAAGGCAAAGAGCATCAAGTAGGAATGAAAAGGATTCCAAACTGTCTTCTTTCATGGAATTACCGTGTTTGATATCATGTCAGAGTGGTTTCCCGTTGATATCACTTACTGGTTGTCATTCATCCTGTAGCCACTGTCAACACTGAAGAGCGAGCGACACGTTTGCGCGCCTGCCCTGCGATCGATAAAAATATATGGTTGTAATGTGACATGAAAATGATAAAAGGAAAAAAATACAATTGATAAAACGGAATTATAGATTAATAAGTCAATAGTTTCGACATACAGTAAGATTTCAGCTTTGTCTCACTTTTTAACTAATCTCTACTGCTTTCAAAATTTAGAGATATCTTTTATTCCTATTCTCAATATCGTTTTGAAGCGTTCATATACTCTAACCGACAAACACGTAAAATAGTATTAGTAACGCGTTCACACTAACACCGTTAGGAATGTAACCTAGAGTATTATAGATTAAAGGAAAAAAAAATGGAAGTGGGACACTGCATACCCATGCTTACTGATGTGTCACGTCAGATCATTTTTTTTTTTTTTGCTAGAGTTTTAAAAATGTAATTCTTTACTTACGTGCATATAGGTGATACCAAAACGTAAATATTTCGCAATTTGATGTTTAAACTAAAAAGAATGAGAAATAAAGGAAAAAACGGCATTTACTTTGTCTTCGCATTTTATCCAATTAGATTGTTTGATTTGTTTATCTTTAAACAATCCCCAACGCCAATTAGCTCGAAGTGTGTCAACTTTGAAAAAAAAATCGAG